AGTTTTGAGTCTACAGTGTAAAAAGGGAGAGAAATAAGAAATGACATGATTTTACCCCTTCTTCCATGTTGACATGATTTTATCCCTTCTTCCGTGTTGAATCCCACAGGCAATAGTCATAGAAAAGGTAAATAGAAATAGGACAAAAAGCTGCCTGCCTCGGTGTTAAAGAGAAGCTGAGCCTGACGCAGGCCTATAATTCTAGCTATTGGGGAGACTGAGACAGGAGAAGCACAAATTCAAGGCCTGCCTGGCCTACAGGGTGCATTCAGAGCCAGAATGGGCAACTTGGTGAGACCCGATCTCAAAATAAAAAAATATTAAAAAGGTTGGGGATAGGGCTTGGAATACAGTTCGTGGCTGGGCAGTCGCTAGCATGCACCAAGCCCTTTGTTCAAGCCCCAGAACCACAAAAAACACAAATTTAAAAAGGCCAAAGATACAGTCTAGAGGTAGTGTGTTTACCTAGCCTGTATGAGGCCCTGGGTTCAATCCCAATACTAAAAAAACAATGAATCAGATAATTACGACTGCTTTTTGAAAACCACCACACTCCCTGCAAGCACAGTGTGAAGATGGCCTGGAGGTGGAGGGCTCACCCCATCCACCTCAACCCAAATGACCCTCCCTTGCCCTGTTGCATGTGTGGTCACGACCATAACTTAGTCGGTACAAAGGTAAATGTGGGGAGAAGAAAGGAGACTTAGATGGTTTTAAAGTCATTCTTTAAAAACCTGAAACGAACTGAAATAATGACTTCAATCGTTACCTCTAGAAATTACTTTCTAGATTTCAATGTTTAAGGCTGATTTCTTCTCAACAACCAATTACTCCAATTACCAATGCATCTAAAAATCATTTAAGCCAAATTACAACCTGCAGTATAAACAGCTAGCAATTATCTATGAATGATGGCATCGCAGTTACTTACCTGCAACTATTCTAGCAGCTGTCCCCACACTCCAATGAGTCCAGTTAAACATTTGCCTCCTACCAAAATAAATAGCTGGTGGGTAGTCTCTTAAAAGTGATGCAAGAACAATTAATTCCCAAGAGAATAAGAAACATGCAATTTCCCTGATTGCCCAGGGAATCTGAAACACATTTTAAAGTCCTTAAATATAAATATACTCGATCATTATATTTTATAAAATGTTTCTAGTTGAAAAGAAATTAGCTGGCCAACCAATGATACCCACCCTAAGGGCATTTATATACAAAAGCTGTCAGTACCTTGGGTCGTGTAAAGATGGTCTAAAGGCTGCCAGTAGAGGCTGAAGGACAGCTAAAGTCATCACTGTACAACCGAGGTATGGGTGGTAGCCTGCACGCTGAATAAAGGCACTTCATTTAAATAGTCTTTTTCATCAATTTAAATCATATTTCAAAATAGTATATATCGCCAGAAGTGGTGGTGCACGCCTTTAATCCTAGCAATCGGGAGGCAGAGGCAGGCAGATCTCTGTGAGTTTGAGGCCAGCCTGGTCTACATAATGAGTTCCGGGCCAGCTGGGGCTACAGGGAGACCCTGTCTCAAAACGACCAAAGAAGAAGAAAAAAAAATAGTGTACATGAGTGTACTTTTAGTGAGTTTCAGTGGTTTTAAATGACGATGATGATGATGGTGATGATGACAACGATGATGATGATAACGACACCACTGAGCATGTCCTTTGTTCCAGGCATGTATACCTTCCACACATAATCCCTAACACTCACTACAATGCTTGACACTGTTCTGTGGCCAGTTGACCTGTGCTCAGATCCTGGCATTGTCATTGATTACCTGAAATAGTTACTTAACTTTTCTGTCCTTTACTGTATTCTTCTGTGACGTGAGGACAATGCAAATATCCAGCTATTAGGTGTTCTGTGAGGACCAGGAGCTAAGTAACTGAAAGCATTCAGAATAGTTCCCAGTACATTGGCCTCCACAGGCAGTACACACACAGCGTACAGTCACACAGACACATAATTAAAAATTAAAAAAAAATAAATCTTAAACCAGGTATAGTGGTGCAGACCTTTAATCCCAGCACTCGGGAGTCAGAGGCGGGCAGATCTCTGTGAATTCAAGGCCAGCCTGGTCTACATAGCAAGTTCCTGGCCAGCTGGGGCTACAGAGAGACCCTGTCTCAAAAAAAGACCAATAAGTAAATAAATAAATAAATAAATCTTAAAAGAAAAAAGATTTGTAAGTCAGGGATCAATGCTGAAAATAAGCCTTTGGAAATAGCCTAGGTTTCTTCATCTGTGACATAATATCAATACTAACAAGATCAATATTAATTTGTGATTTAAATTTGATAGTACATACAAAGCACTTAGCACACCTAGTCACATGGTAGGGATGCAACTTCTGTTAGCTTAATGATAATTATTATAAGAGAAAACCACCTATATTATTCATGTCCTTAGACATCATACTTTAAATTTCCACTGTTCTATAAGGAAAACAAGCTCACTACAGGTATGTGTGAACATGTCATGCAGCCTAAAATATATTTCAATACCAGGGGACCTGTATTTATAGTCTCCCTTCGTTCTTGACCCCTGACCACATGAATTCATCAGATCACTCAAAAAAGAAAGAGGGATCTACACAGAAATGTATTTTGATCTCTCTTGAGAATAAAACAGCAATCTGCTTTGACTTCAACAGAGATTGCTAGAAAAACATCCTGTTGAAGAGGGACTTACCTGACTCCAGCCTCCTCTGTATACAAAAGGCATAACAAAAGCTATGCAGGTGAGCACAGATGTAGCAAGCATGAGCATTCGGTGCACCTGCAAGGTGAGACAGCAAGGTGAGAAGTCAGATAACTGTGTAAGAAAGACAGCTGGTATCAGAGGTGGGAGATCATGGGAGATTCACTGAAGGTGTGAACCCCACTGACATCGAAACACAGATGGTGGCCAATAAAATAAAATGTTAGTGAGCCATTAAACTTTTTAAAAAACTCTAAGCTGCCATCTCGTCAGTCAAAAGTATTTACTAAGGCTTCAGCTACTCAGAGCAGGAGGGGTGAAGAGCTCACACAAAGCATGCTTATTTGCCAGGATCTTCATTTCATTCCAAAGACATTAATTAAGCTCTGTCACTAAGTACAGTGCTATGCCAGGTGCAGAGGGACAGCACTGAAACTGAAAATTCTGGATCCCGAGGGGCTTGCAGTATAATTGAGTAGATAAGAAAAAACTATATGGAAGATATAATACACTGTGTAAATCAAGAGAATACCAAATGAATAGGCACTGTTATGTATTGGTAAATTGTGTGAGCTAAAACTATTCCAGGAAAAGTTACCCTACATGTTATATGTTAGATAGTGACCCTATAGGTTTCTAAGTATGTCACTATACCTAACACACACACACACACACACACTCCCCAGTACTATATTTCTAGACAGTGGAGGGCCAGGGCTCAGCAGATAAAGGTACTTGCTGCACAAGCCAGGTGACCTGAGTTTGAGCCCCAGAACCCATGTAAATGTGGAAAGAGAGAACCACTCCCACAAAGTTGTCCTCAATCTCTACACACTCGCACCCACATGCACACATCATGCACACAAACACACATATACACAATAATAATAATAATAAATTTTGAATAACAAAGACAGTGGAAGACTTGGATTGACAATGGACATGGTCTTCCAATTAGAAAAATCCACATGAACAGATTGGAGAAGGAAAGAGAATGAGCAGGCTCTATGAGAAAGAGCTCTAAGGCAAAGACAGGAGCAGGACACATAGCAACCAAGAGAATAAATAAAACAGATCACCATGCCAACCAACAGAAAGAAATGAGGTTATGTAAGGGAAACCTCAAAAGCTATAAATGTATGATGATCAAGAGTGGAAAGGCATCTTCTAATAAAGCCACAGCTTTCCCACTGACAGTACTAGAATCAGGCATGTGCTTTCTCACAACACATACTAGTGTTCTAATATCTACATTCCATGGCCCATGATGAGTAAGGCTGCTCTGCTTTCCTGAGAAAGGTACTTTCTGGCTCTCACTGCTTCCCATAGGAGTCTGCCTTCCAATCATGCTGGGAAGGCTCAGCATGAAAAAGCACATTTCCAGTTTCTGGTCCCACACATAATTAGATGACCTTGACTAGTAAGTTAGGGAAACACCAGCTCTCAGTGGCCCATCAACCAAATATGCAGTGAAAACAAGCACCAGACTTCTTTCTTTTGCTTTCCACCCCTCCTTGACTCAGATGACTTAGTGCACTGGTGAGTCTCTTTCTGCATCTCCCACTACAAACAGAGGCCAGAGAAAGGGTCGTTTGGGCCTCCATATCTATGTGAAAAAGGGATAGATGTGGCTCTGACATCTCCCCAGTTCAGCCTGCTTCCTGGCAAAGCTGTATTTTGATCTTCACCAAGAATCTTACATATTCTCTCAATTGGTTAAGAAACTAAAGGGAAAAAAGATCTAAGACCTACAATAGCTGTAATTGAAAACACACACGGGCTTATGAGATGACTCTGTGGGTAAAGGCACTTGCTGCCAAACCTGACAACCTGAGTTCAATGCCCAGAACCCACATGGTGAAAGGAGACAACCATCAGCTGTCCTTTGACCTCCATGCATGTACACGGCAGATCCATGCACACACACACACACACACACACAATGAAAAAAAAAGCACACATACTTCAGTCATAGTATTTGAGTAATATGGAAATTGCTTTGAGTTCTCTTCCTTACCTACCTGAAACCAAGCTGCTTCACCAAAGAAGAAAGCCTTTGACCAAACAGATCTGAAGAATCGGGCCACCAGTACCCCTATGCTAACAGTAGTCATCCATGCCACAAACATTAAGGCACCTACAGGGGAGAAACCCAGTGGTTGACATCACAAAGTAAGCTGTTTCTTCAATGACCAAGCCAACTACTTAGAAGGCATCAACAGTTAACAAAGTACTTTCAGCCTTGGGGGTCAATATGTCCCTGAAAGACCCTGTGATCATAGTTTTCACTATTCCACCACTGTAACTTCTAAGCCTACAATCCCATAGCCCAGTGCTTGGCATATGTCAGTCAAATTGATCTTTACCATGGTTCTGTGAGGTATTTATAATTATTATTCCTGCTAGGCTGAATGGGGACGCAAAGGCACAGAGAAACGGAATAGCTTGTTCATAGCAAGTATGCCCTTAACCAACAACCTCATACAGCCTGTCTGCAGCTGTCTTCTCAAGCCTAGCCACAAACAACTATGACAACCAAAAAGACACATGGCCTCCAAATCTAATTCCTGCCCAACTGGAGGTACAGTATGAGCAAGGCCCAGTTAACACCCATAAAGCAGTCGTCAAGGTGAGCTGTGATGAAAATCAGGGAAAGCCCATCACCATGGAGAAGTTCCAAGCGTGTAAAAAGATTATGATAAGAAAAATGCCCCTCAAAGATTAATGCTTTATAACAGTACAGTTGACACTCCACTGTTTCCCCACTTTTAAGTCCTATATTTTCAACAACAAGCCAGGTAACTTTGCAAGTAGAATTATGTTTCATGTGTTACATCTAGGCAAGTTCTCTCCCACTTGGTGCCATCCTCACCCAAATACCCAAAACATAAGCTTTATACTGAGGACCATATACACATTCAAATATTGACCAGTCACATATTGATTGCATATTGATCGGTCTCCAACAGTGAAACCAAACTATTGTTACAACTGAACAACACAAACCATAAAACAATTTTTTTTTTGGTCTTTTTGAGACAGGGTCTCCCTGTAGCCCCAGCTGTCCTGGAACTCACTATGTAGACCAGGCTGGCCTTGAACTCACAGAGACCCGCCTGCCTCTGCCTCCTGAGCGCTGGGCATAAACTACTTTTATTAAGCTTTATTTTAATAAATGACAAAAAAATCAAGGATCTATAAAAGTTAATTAATCTTGCGCTATTCAACCCTGCCTGTAACTGTTTCAAATAAAACATTTCTTAAATTATAGATGTATTAAAAATTCACTGCTGATTTATTGATTCCAAAATTTCATACAATGTATTTTGATTCCATTCAGACCCACCTCCCAGGATTAGTACATCTCTCACTGCTGATTTTAATGTGCTACCAATGCTAAAACCACCAAGTTAGACATCCTTTCCACTTTTAATAAAAATTGGCAAACATTCAGATAGATGATTTATCTTCAAATATCAATGTTTAAACATAAAAGATTCGTGAAAGTCTGCTAGATGATATCTGCCACTACTCTTGATCCAGCAACACTGGTTCATCGGGTTACTGTGTTCCACAACACAGTAATGATATTCCACATGTAACTTACCATGAGCCTTCAAAAGGGGTGAAGAATGGGACCCTCCTATGTTCCTTGGAGTGCCTGTCACATCATATTTTTCATATGTTATCAAAGGTTGCTGAGAATGCTTAAAAATTCGACCTAAAGATGATAAAGAAGAATTACTTCTACAGGACGGAAGGACCTGAGAAATGATCATAGACTAGAAAGATTCCTTATAGTAATCAAAAATAATTAAATGTGAGGAGTTGGCATTCACATGGAAAAGCAACATGAAGACACAAGCAAGGCCACATGACTTTCCTCCAAGTTAAAGAAATGAAGTATCCAAGGAAGAGATGGAAGAAAGCAAGGACTGAAACTATAGTAAAAAGAACGGTATGATAAACTAGCTAAACAGTCAAAATAATTCCTTCTATGGTCACAAATCGTGGAAAACACCCAGTGTAACTCTCAAATGATAACAGATGAATTTTGTTTTGTTTGAGAGAGGGATTCCCTGTAGCCCCACTGTCTTGGAACTCCCTATGTAGACCAGACTGGCCTCAGTCTCACAGAGATCCACCTGCCTCTGTCTCCTGAGTGCTGGTATTAAAGGTGTGCACAGCCATACCTGACTAATAACAGATGTATTTTAAAGTTACAAGACATTTATCATGACCAGTGTTCTAGAATCCGAGAATAAACCAACAGAAATTGAACCTGGGGAAGACAGTGGGTCGATGACAGAGAAAAGCATTTTAATGATAGGGGATTTGGCAGATGATCAGTTCAGACTAGGTTTAACTAACAAATCAAAATTCCAAATAACAGTGACATAACCAAACTGAGGAAACACTATTATTACCTTTTATTACTAGTCATTATATATAAAATTAAATAAAAATGTATGACTTATTTCAAGTGTATGTTCACATGTGTGTATGTGTTCACTCTACACTATAGAGAGAATGGGTTTTTTTTTAATTTAAAGATTTCTGTTTGGGGTTTTTTTATGTGCACATGTATATGTACATATGTATGTGCAGGTGACCATGGAGGCCAGAAGAAGGTGTCAGATCCCTTAGAGCTGGAATTGCAGGCATTTGTGAGTCAACTGAGGCGGGTCCTGGGATCCAAACTTCAGTCCTCATGATAGAGTAACAAGCACTCTTAATCACTGAGCTGTCTCTCCAGTCCAGGTAGAATGATTTTTTTAACCAAAGATAGATGTATAAGAATATAGAGACAATTTTTATGCTAATTAAAAAATGTAAGCTAAGCCAGGCATGGGGGCACACACCTTTAATCCCAGCACTCAGGAGGCAAAGGCAGGTGGATCTTTGTGAGTTCAAGGCCAGCCTGGCCTACATAAGAGTTCCAAGCCATATGGGGCCATAGGGAGACCCTGTCTCAAAAAGACAAAAGAATGTAAGTTAAATACCCATCATTAGGAAAATGAGAAAATGATAGAATGTAGAATATTGTAAAATGCTATGCAAGTACAAAAATAATTAAGATAACATAATAGATATATAAACTGTTGCAAACAAATGATAGCTATTAGGCAACAGACTATATCTCAATCATATCAAAACCAGAGGGTTGGTGAGATGGCTCAGCAGGTAAAACACTTGCAGCACAAGCCTGACGACCTGAGTTTGAGCCTCAGAATTCATAGTGGAATGAGAGAAACGACATAGGAAAGTTGTCCTCAGACCTTCATATGAGCACCACAGCACTTGCATGCCTTCACACACACACTCACACACACACACACACATTGTGCCCACCAGGGTGCAGCCACGGAAGCTGAATGGATTACCACAAAACTATTAATAAACCAGGGGACCCAGGCCTGAGTGTTGATCAAATCAATATCAGCAGCTCTGCTTTTATTTTCATACTCGTGAGAATCGCAGTCACGTGTCTACAGAACTGAACAATGATAAAATGGCTTCTCATACTCGTAAGAGCCACAGTCAAATGTTTACAGAACATTGGATAATAATATGGCTTGAATATATCAATTCAGCAAAATAAAATGAACAAGACAACACTATCACCATAGTATGTCCTCTTGGGAGATCAACATGTCTCCTGAGAAACTAGGAGAGAACAAGCATTCCAGAAATATCTCCTCAGCAAGCATTCTTACAGAAACTTTCTCATGAGACACAAGGCTCTCCAGACATACATGCTCAAAGTTCAGCTTAATTGACCAAGCATATTTTTTAAGTCATAGCAACACTATTTCACAGTCTCTTCACACACAAACCACAGCATACACACAATAATAATAATAGTACCCACAGAAAGGGAAAAATCTTCACCAGTGACACATCTGACGGAGGTTTAACATTCAGAATATATAAAGAACTCAAAAAACAAAGGATCAAAAACAACAACAAGAAAACAAAGAATCAAGAAAACAAATGACCCCATTAAAAGACTGGCTAAAGATCTAACCAGAGTTCTCAAATGAAGAAATAAAGATGGCTAAGAAACATCTTAAAAAGTGTTCAACATTGTTAGTAATTAGGGAAATGAAAATTAAGATCAAGAGAACGAATGATACCAAATGCTGACAAGGATGTGGAGAAAGGGGAACACTCATTCACTGCTGGTGGGATTGCAAACTTGTGTGGCCTCTATGGAAAACAGTGTGGAGAACTCTTAAAAAACTAAAAATGAGCCTACTATATGACCCGGTTATACCACTCCTTGGCATATACCCAAAGGACTCATCCTATTGTAGAGACACGTGTACAACCATGTTTGTTGCTGCTCTTTTCACAATAGCTAAGAGATGGAAGCAACCTAAGTGCCCCTCAACTGACAAGTTGTTAACAAAAATGTGGTATATTTACACGATGGAGTTCTATTCCACAGTAAAGAAATATGAAATAATGAAATTTGCAGGTAAATGGATGGATCTAGAAACTGTTATACTAAGTGAAGTAACAGACTCAGAAAAACAAATGACGTATGTTCTCCCTCATATGTGGCTCCTTTTAAATTCCAGGTCCTTTTAATAATATGATGCTATACAGCAGTCCCTTCTGCATGAAATAACTACCATCGTCACTACTTCGGCTGAGCCTGATTGCTAAGCATAGTCACAACTAGGCTTGTTGATGGTTGGGCTCATTCATTAAAGGAGTGCCAGGCTGGGTCACTGGACCCTCACCTGAATATCCAGCCACTCTTCCCAGCCAACTAGTCCAGCCTTGGAAGACAAAAGAAAAATGAGGAAGATCCCAACAGAGGGATGCTTTTGGAAGCCCTTGTCAAGAAACTCCAATGGACTCTCATATGAACATTTGAAAATTGCCCTGTTCTGACTTTTTTCTAGTTCCCTGTCTAGAACTTGTAATGCTAATTACTCTTGCCTTTACTTCTCCTTCACATCTCCCATTCATGATTCAAGGAGACTTTCCTTTTCCCTTAGAGACAAGAGTTATGCAATTTGGGAGTCTTGTAGATAGACCCACTGAAGGAGTACTCCAATTGCCTCACCCTGCATCCTTGTTCAGCATGGAAGAAGCCAAAGTGGTTTGCGTCCCTAGTCCCTATTGGCAATTTGGGTAACCCCTTCAAAGGATGGCATGATAAAAATAGGAGGTAGGAATTGGCTAGGCACTAGAGTATAAAGACCCCAAAGAAATGTAACCAGTTTCTGGGCTAAAAGTCAAAATGTCATTGGGCCTGGTAGCCACACACTCTGTTCCTAAGGCCAAAAATGTCAAAATGTCAAATGTATTTGGGAGCTTGTATCTAATCCTTGAAAGATTTTAGTGTTCCCTCTTCAGAGGGGGGAATGTTGGAGGGGAGGGAGTGGACATGGATTTGCTCAAAACACCTCATATGCATGTATGAAATTCTCAATAAAGTTTCTGTAAAAGTTAAAATAATAATAATAGTAATAACAAATTAGTTCATTTAATTAAATTTTTAAAAATTGGCCAGGCTTGGTGGCTCACGCCTTTAATCCAAGCACTTGGGAGGCAGAAGCAGGCGGATCTCTGTGAGTTCAAGGCCAGCCTGGTCTACATAGTGAGTTCCAGGACAGCTGGGGTTACAGGGAGACCGTGTCGTAACAATGAAGATACTTCAAAACACCTGGATGTAATCAAAGTAAAGACAAAAGTGTTAAAGTAATCATTTAATCTGAAATTCATTCAAAACAACAAAAGGTAACCTAGAAAATCAGAAAGGGAAAGCCAACAGAATCAGCTGAGCTTTTGGAAACTCTATCCAGAAGATAAAAGGAAGTGTCATAATGTTAGAAATGAGCTGCAAAGATTGATGTTGAAGATTCTGTTTAAGGAAATGAAGATATCATTGTAACTGAATGAAAACCCTGTACACAACTTCAAATCCACCATAAAATGTCCAACTGCAGATAAAATAAATTTCAAAGAAAACATGGAATTATGAAGAGTACTGACAAAAGAAGAATGCTCTTATAGTCAGTCATGTGTTTCTATCATACATTCAGACTGCCACATGCGTGAGTTCTACTATGCCATTAAAAGAAAATTTTCTGTAACTTTAAGAAAAAAAAAACTTATTTCAGGGGCTAGAGTGATGGCTCAGATGGCTACTCTTGCAGAAGACTGAGATTCAGTTCCCAGCACCTATATGGAGGCCAACAACCATCTCTAATTCCAGTTCCAGGGAATCCAATGTTCTCTTCTGATCTCCATGAGCATTGCATCGCATGGGTGCACTTACATACATGCAGGCAAAACACTCATACAAATAAGTAAAAATAAATAGATAAGAAACAACTTTTAGCTGGATAGCTCAGTAGTTAAGAGCCCTGGCTGCTCTTGCAGAGGACCAGGGTTCGAGTCCCAATACTAACAACGGTCCTTAACTCCAGTTCCAGGGGACTGATGCCCTCTTCTGACCTCCACAGGCTTTGCACGACACAGGTGACCTTACATCTATACAGGCAATACATTCATACACATAAAATAAAAATAAAAAACAAAATATCTTTAAAAAACAATTTTTAAGTAAAGAAAGAAAGAGGAAGGAAGGGTTGGAAGAAGGGAAACAAAGGGGAAAAAAGAAAGAAACAGGCCAAATGGAGAGTCAAGTTCTATCAAAATCCACAGCCTAGGGTTGGGGATGCAGCTCAGTTGATAGAGTGC